TGGCTGGCGCCTTAGCCAGTTGAGCTATAGGTGCTGAGCCTTAAAAATAATTTCTATTTATTAAGTTGTATTCTTTATTAGATTTCAACCTCTTTGAAGATAACATTTGGATCTTATTCATCTTTTTTCCAGAACATCTAGCATAGTATCTGGCATAATGGGGTCACATCATAGGTTCTCAATGTACATTTGTTGTATTGCTGAATTTGTTGAATTAAATTTATATTTTTAGTGTCTGGCACAGTACAGCAGATGTTTAATAAATGTCGGGTATTTTTTTTGAGATAGAGCCTTAAGCTGTCACCCTGGGTAGAGTGCCATGGCATCACAGCTCATAGCAACCTCCAACTCCTGGGCTCAAGCGAGTCTTCTGCCTCTGCCTCCCAAGTAGCTGGGACTATAGGCATCTGCCACAATGCCCAGCTATTTTTTGGTTGTAGCCATCATTGTTGTTTGGTGGGCCCCGGCTGGATTTGAACCCACCAGCTAAGATGTATGTGGCTGGTGCCTTAGCTGCTTGAGCCATAGGTGCTGAGCCTAAATGTTGGGTTTTGATGAAAATAAATGTAAAACAAAAGATTCTGGTGCCTTTCTTCTCTATTCCTACTTAAAGGTCATCTCCTAAATCTCTACTTGAACACTGTATGTATACTTTTATACGCATGTATTTTATTATCCTTTCTGAAATTTCTTTTTTTTTTTTTTTTGCAGTTTTTGGCCAGGCCTGGGTTTGAACTGGCCACCTCTGGCATATGGGGCCAGCACCCTACTCCTTGAGCCACAGGCACCACCCCTGAAGTTTCTTAACACCTGTGATACATAATATGTTGGCAGTATGAAATAATAACTAAATTAACAATTGGTGAAAACTGTGCTTTATTAGGCTTCATTTTTTCAGAGGAAATCTGCTACTGAACCCCTGTAGTAAACTTTTCATTTCTTCTCTAAGTTGATCACCCAAGTGATTGCAACAAACTGGTCTACGGAGGTGTCAACGTAAGGAACTAAGCTTTCCATACTGATACACACATGCGATGCATGTCTGGTCTATGAAAATTAGGTAAACTTAAGGAGGTGGTTCTACTGTACTTGTCAAGTCCAGAATTTCTGTTTTGTTCTTTTATGCTTCCTATGTTTAACTGTATATTTATTTCTATTTGATAAGTCATGTAATCATACTTTCCCTTCTTTAAATAATCATACTTTCCCTTCAGTTCTCTAAACATATTTATAATAGCTACTTTGAAGTCTCACTAAGTCCAATATTTGGCTCCCCCAGAGACAGTTTCTGCTGATTCTTTTTTTTTTCCTGTGTGTGTTGGTTACACATTCTGATTTTCTTTATGTATCTCATACTTTTTAGTTTGATTTGACATTTTGAAAACTGGACATTTTAGGTAATATATTATAGCAACTCTGTATTGTGATGTTTCTCTCTTCCCTCTGCCCAAGAGTGGTTATTGCTATTTATTTATTTATTTTTTTAGTGGCTTGGTTAGACTTAGTGTGTAGAGTCTGTTTCCTGTGCAGTATGTGGCCACTGATATCTCTGCTCACCTTTTAAATATTTTTAAAAATTCTTGTTTTTATTTTTAAGCCTGATTTGTTAGAGGCTACTCCTAGGTTGGTCCAGCTTAGTGGTCAACTTATAATTGGTTAGAGGTTGTATGTAAATACCTTGAGCCAGGAAGATTTCTACCTTTTACTCATGGGTCTATGTATCGCTTAGGGAATGTTTTTTTTTTTTTTTTTTTGAGATGGAGCCTCAAGCTATCCCCCTGGGTAGAGTGCCATGGCATCACGCTCACAGCAACCTCCAACTCCTGGGCTCAAGCGAGTCTCCTGCCTCAGCCTCCCAAGTAGCTGGGACCACAGGCGTCCGCCACAACGCCTGGCCATTTTTTGGTTGCAGCCATCGTTGTTTGGCGGGCCTGGGCTGGGGATTCGAACCCGCCACCTTAGGTGTATGTGGCTGGCGCCTTAGCCGCTTGAGCCACAGGCACTGAGCCAGGGAATGTTTTTAAAGCAGTTAATGAGTCAACCTGACCGTTTTTTAAAAATGTGTTTCATGCTTAGTTAGCTAGGGATGATTAGCTAATAATATAAGCAGCCTTGTACACACACACAACCTTTTCACTCACAAGGGATAAGTAGACTCTTAGCAAGGCCACTTTGGCTGTCTGATTTTTTGGTTTCCTTATTAATTTTTTGGTGGCTTTTAGTTTTATTGCTTGTTCCAACCAGTATCATGACATTAGGTTTGTTCTGATGTTGACTTTTCCAGATCATTGGCCAGAGATCAGAATTATTTTTGACAATGTGTCTGGACATAGAATTTTTTATGTTCAGTTCCAAATAAAGTCAGTCTCTCTGGCAGGGCAAGGGAGATATCCATTTGAACAGAAGTTTTGTACTGTGGAGTTTGAGGTAGGAACAGTTATAGCCCGAGGCTAAAACATCACAGACTTCCCCCATTCTTACTAGAAATCAGTAGTTTTTCTTGAATAAATGATTCACATTTTGTTATACACTCTGGGTCAAGTTCCAGGATCTTTAAATGGTTGTTTTGACAACTTTGTCTAGTTTTATAAGTTCTTCTTATAAAATGGTCAGGCTCCTCACTTAGCCATTTCTGAAGTCCTGCTGATTATTTGGTCATTGATTTTTGACAAAGATGTAAAGGCAACTTTCTGTGTTTATTAGTGAGGTTGAAATTTTTTTTTTTTTTTGGAGACAGAATCTCACTTTGTCACCCTTGGTAGAGTACCATGGCGTCATATCTTACAGCACCCTCAAACTCTTAGGTTCAAGTGATTCTCTTGCCTCAGCCTTCCAAGTAACTGGGACTACAAGCACCTGGCACAGTGCCCAGCTATTTTTAGAGACAGGGTCTCGCTCTGGCTCGGGCTGGTCTCCAACCTGTGAGCTCAGGCGATCCACCCACCTCAGCCTCCCAGAGTGCTAGGTGAGCCACCGCGTTAAGCTTTTAAAATATTTTATTGGCCAATAATCTCTGTGACAGGGAAATGATACCTAAGTGATGAACCTTTTTCTTTTCTTTTTTTTTGAGACAGAGTCTCACTATGTTGTCCTCAGTGTCCTGTGTTGCATCACTGCTCACAGCAACCTCAAACTCTTGGGCTTAAGCAATTCTCTTGCCTCAGCCTCCCAAGTAGCTGGGACTAACTACAGGTGCCCGCTACAATGCCCAACTATGTTTTTGTTGTAGTTGTCATCATTGTTTAGCAGGCCTGGGCTGGGTTTGAACGTGCCAGCTCCAGTGTATGTGGCTGGTGCCCTACTCACTGAGCTACAGGCCCTGAGCCTGATAAACCTTTTTAACAAATATATAGTTATGAGTGAATGAGAATGCATCCCAATGATATGATCAATTCTTTTAAAAACAAAGAGGCTCTTTAGAGGTAAATCTATAAACTTGAACATATAAATACAGGTTTGTGATACAAACCTTGTGAAACATTGTATTGAGATTTAGGTTAATTTTAAAAAAGCTTAAGATACATTTGATTACCTTCCTTATTTTAAAAAATAATCTACTTGGCTTAAGCCTGTGGCTTAAGTGTCTAAGGTGCCAGCCACATACACCCAAGGTGGCAGGTTCGAATCTAGCCCAGGCCCACCAAACAACAATGATGGCTGCAACCAAAAAATAGCCAGGCGTTGTGGTGGGTGCCGGTGGTCCCAGCTACTTGGGAGGCAGAAGCAGGAGACTCGCTTGAGCCCAGAAGTTGGAGATTGCTGTGAGCTGTGATGCCACAGAACTCTACCCAGGGGGACAGCTTGAGGCTCTGTCTCAAAAAAAAAAAAAAACAGAAAAAAAACAACTTATGTTTTAGAGAATATCTTCAGAATGTTAATGTTTGCTTTGAAACAAAGGCTTATGGGCTCATTTAAAGATCTGTGGTAGAGAATACAAACCTTTAGCCCTTGAGCAAATTTAACTAATAGATATGTATGGTATTGGTCAAACAGTATATATATATATTTTTCTTTTTTCTCTCTCTTTTTTTAAAATTAAATCATAGCTGTGTACATTAATGCAATCATGGGGTGCGATGTGCTGGTTTTATATACAATTTGAAATATTTTCATCAAACTGATTAACATAGCCTTCATGGCATTTTCTTAGTTATTGTGTTAAGACATTTATATTCTACACGTAGTAAATTTCACATGTATCCTTGTAAGATGCACCATAAGTGTGGTCCCACCAATTACCCTCCCTTCACCCATCCCAAACAGTATATTTATTAACATTGGATCAGCATTTTACTCACAGCAACAACTTGCTATAATTGTCATGTTTCCAGGTTGCCACAGTTATAATTAATCCATACTGGGCAGCACCTGTGGCTCAAAGGAGTAGGGCACTGGCCCCATATGCTGGAGGTGGTAGGTTCAAACCCAGTCCTGGCCAAAAAAAAAACCCAAAAAACTGCAAAAAAATTTTTTTTAATTATATAATTAATATATACTATTTACCTAACAATGAGGCCAAATATTGGTTTCTATGTCACTGGGCTTGTGCTTTTGCTTTTCCCTTTTTTTTTTTTGGAAGACAGAGTCTCACTCTGTTGCCTAACTGAAGTGCCATGGCATTATCATAGCTCATTGCAACCTCAAATTCTTGGCTCAAGCAATCCTCCTGCCTCTACCTCCTGAGTAGCTGAGACTACTCTTGACGCTCAGCTAATTTTTCTATTTTAAGTAGGGATGGTCTTGCTCTTACTCAGGGTGGTCTCCAACTCCTGAGCCCAAGCGATCCTCCTGACTGGGTGTCCTAGAGTGCATGAGCTACCATACCGCCCTATTTTTCCTTTATCTTATACCCTTAGCTACTTATGATGCTTCTCAGACTGCAGTGGAGATTTCATGATAATAGACTAAATATAAAAGATACAAAAATGTTTAAAAAATCTACCTTATCACTTCTTAACATGCTTATTTTCTTAACTTAGTGTCTTCATTGGCTACTCTGGCATGGAGCTGACATCACACAAGTAACAACAAGAGGTTGGACGGCAGCTCACATAGCTGCAATCAGGGGTCAAGATGCTTGTATGCAGGTAAGAATAACTTTGGTTACTTTTTTTCCCAAGGATTTACAACCAGCAGTAATGATTGCTTTTTAAAAATTCATTAATTTTTTAGTAATTAATTTTTTTTTTTTTTTTGGCCAGGGCTGGGTTTGAACCCAAATTCTTTTGGGCTACTGCTATTATTCTAATTATTTGATCCAGTGCATTTAGTTATTTATCCTAAACAGGACCTTACTGGATTCCACAACTCACATGACTCAGATATTTTGATACCAACTGTTCATTTAAACACATGGTATGAGATCAGAGATCATTTTATCTCTGAAGCCGTTGGCTGTTTGGGTTGTTTTGAGATATGTAAAGGTCATGCTCAGATTATCTTCTTTGTAGCTTGCTACTATAGTCTGTGTTTGCGCTTGCCCAAATAAATATGTTGAAATCTTTTTTTTTTCTTTTTTGAGACAGAGCCTTAAGCTGTTGCCCTGGGTAGAGTGCTGTGGCATCACAGCTTACAGTAACTTCCAACTCCTGGGCTTAAACGATTCTCTTGCCTCAGTTTCCCAAGTAGCTGGGACTACAGGCACCTTCCACAGCACCTGGCTATTTTTTGGTTGTAGTTGTCATTGTTATTTGTCAGGCCTGGGCTGGAATTGAACGCGCCAGCTTTGGTGTATGTGGCTGGCACCTTAGTTGCTTGAGCTGTAGGCGCTGAGGCAATATGTTGAAATTTTAACACCCAAGGTGATGGTAGTAGGATTTGGGGGTCTTTTGGGAAGTGATTAGGTTATAAAAGCTTTCCACTCATGAATGGGATTGATGCCCTTATAATGGACCCCAGAACACTAGCTAGCCCTTTTTACTATATGAGGATACAGCAAGAAGGCACTGCCTATGCAGAATGGGGCTTTATCAGACACAGAATCTGCTGGCACCTTGTTCTTGGAGTTCCTAGCATCCAAAACTGTGAGAAATAAATTTCTGTTGTTTATAAGCTACCCAGTTTCTGGCATTTTGTTTCATTAGCCCAAACAGACTATGACTCTTGCCACACCTAAAATTCTTTATTTAATGTGTTCCCTGGTTAGAGTAACACATGCGTATGTGGTGGGATCTAGTTTTATTAGAGTAAGTAGACTTAAATCAGTTTACTGGAATAGACTGGAATTTGGAAGAATAGAGAGTTGTGTAAGTAAACTGTCTCTGCCTGACATTCTATTTGAAATGACAGCAGCTTTACTTAGTTATAAAACAATACAAAGCAAAGCCTGTGATGAAGGTTTTAATGAAAAGTATAGATAAGAATTATAGAATTTAGGAGGAGGTAAAAGAATCATGAATGGAGGAAATTACAAGATAAGCCCAAAAGAATGGGTTGATTTTGGGTAGCACCTGTGGCTTAGTGAGTGGGGCCCCAGCCTCATATACTGAGGATGGCATGTTTGAACTTGGCTCCAGCCAAACTGCAACAAAAAAATAGCCGGGCGTTGTGGCGGGCGCCTGTAGTCCCAGCTACTTGGGAG